TCTCTCTCTCTCTCTCTCTCTCTCTCTCTCTCTCTCTCTCTCTCTCTCTCTCTCTCTCCACCCACCTTTGTCGATCTACAAACAATACAATTCTAAAAAAACTAACTCCTCTCTCTCTCTCTCTCTCACTCCCAAACAATTAATTCTACTAAAATTTCTCGTTCTCTCTCTACTAACAACCTCATCCACTAAATTCTTTTCATATAGCTTCTAAAAAAATTAGAACTCCTAAGTCAAACAAAATTAAAAAAAATTAAACTTATTGTCATGTTGAATTTTAAACGTTATTTTGACTATAAAATGAATTTAATAGACAATAAATACTCAACATGAGACACGTTCTCAATATTTGCATATTTTTGTCACAATAATGAAAACCAGAATGCAATTGCCACTATTTCTTTTAGAAACTAAAACACTATTTTTTAGAAATTAGATATTATAGTATTTTTTTGAAATCTTTTTAGGCTTAAACCACCCAATTCGGCTGATTCTCCAATCTGGATTGCCGATCCACCGATTCGAAATGGTTTTTGGGGTGGCCGATCCAGGTCACCAATCCGTTTTTTTAAACCTTGTATAATAATATTACATGGCACCGGATCGGAGGTTAAGACAAAATAAAGTTCGAAAATTTTATAAGGTAAAGGTAAACATTACACATAAGCTAATACATTAGAATGGAAACTACAAGAAAAAAGGGATAATTAATAACGATTTAAGAATTCCATAATGGTGAAACAATTCTCAGGATTTCACACTTGTTTTGACTCATCTGTAGCGTACTTGTTCGTCGTGACGTGCGGTATTCAGGATTTCTTGCATTGGGCCTCCAGCAACACACACCAAGTTGGCTCCGTACTAGTATCATACCTGGAGAAATTCCATAATAACCTGAAGGAATTGAGCTGAAAAATAATCTAAACATAGTTACTCTACTTGAAGGCATCTAGAACATTTTTTTTTTTTTTTAATTTTTGAGTTGGATGGATGGGTTTGGTGGGATTCAATCCCAAGATGCTGCGCCTTATTTGTCAACAACTTACCATTCAAGCCTGCTTAGCCTGGTGCCAAATCCTGAGGCATGTACAACTCAAGGACCCATAGAATGTCATTGCCGAGTCACTGAAGTTCATAAAGATCTGTATGAGCTATGTCACATGTGCACGGGTCGGTGTAAAAGTTATAGACATGGGTACGCGATGTTGGAGTTCTCGTGTCATGAAGAACATAATTCAATCACACAAATACATTGTAACGCAGTGCTTTGAGACTCGCCCGAGTCGACTCAGGCTCAGAGAGCCACTCAGCCTTGGTAGGCTCCCAAGGCCCAAAAGGAATACCCCTCCAGTAAGTACCATACCAACTTGCCCAAGTACTACAAACCATTATTATCAAATGCAGACGCACATTGCATTATGTGGCCCTAGGCGCATCGCCACCACCCACATATGCGGGAATTTGTGATGCCATTGACTAGATATGTGGCCATATCACATGAGGTTGATCTGCTTGCATTTGTGGCCCTGCTTAGGGGTGGAAATTTTGCCCACAAGCAACGCTAAAATTGTAAATTTTCCCCCCGCTTTTAGGGGGAGGGTGCGGGGTGGGTATAACCTGTTAGAAATGCCTAGAACCACATTTCCATTGTTCTAAGGGGAGTGAAAAAAGAAAAAAAGAAGAAGAAGAAGAAGAAGCAAAAAACACTTATGCTTAAATTTTTTTCAAACTTGTGATTTGTTCTTGAATCTTTGGTTGATTGTTTGATATTGTTTTGGAATTCATTTTGAAGTTTTTATGGTGAATATTAAACAAGCATTCGAATAATTCAAGGCCTGAGAGATTAAATCCAAGAAATCATATTTTCCTTCAACTTGGGATTTGGGACTTGAAAATTGAGTTATTTGAAAGTTGAAACTTATTTAATCAAGACACAAGAATTGAGAGTTGGCACATTGACTCATTGAGCTTGAATGTGTTCATTATCTTTTATATATTAAATGTTATGAACTTTTGGACTTTGGAGTTTGAAGTTATGTTTAGGTTGTTGTGTTGTTAGGCTGTGGTTATCAACTTCTGATTGTGAGATATTTTTGGTCTTTGGATGTTAAATTGTTAATTGTTGTTACTATTGGGATGGAATGGATTACTTTCTAATACATGCAAGAAAACAAACTACGTTACTCTTTATTAGACTTATCAGGCTATTAGAGGACTTAGAAAGCTAATATATTAAAGAAAATTACTAAATTAAATTTTCTACTAACGCATAAATCACAAATTAATGTTTTTCAATGCATTCTAATATTTTTTGATTTTTTTAAATTTATTAACCACATCTCCTGTGATGGCCACCCAATGTTTTAAATGCAGGATGCAGCCATATGCGTTAGGGGGACAATGCGGCTCGATGCGGTCCGAACGATGGTGCGTCGCCGTTATGCAGTCAATAAATATTAAAAAATCTAAAAAAATAAGTTAATGCATAGAAAAAAAATATGAAAGTAATATATGTGATAATATGTATCTAGTTTAGGGAAAATTATCGATATCCCCCCAAAATAAACTTTGTAGACATCTGATCCCCCAATACTTTTTGTATCACACCCAACACTATTTTTCCTTATATTTACCCCCCCCCCCCAATCAAAAAATCAATAAAATTAAAACTAAAATGCCCTTTTCAACTCGTTCCAACAGCCCTCTCACTTACTCTCTACACATAATCTCTTACACCCCTTAACTTTTTTATTCTCTCTTTCTTTCTCTATTCACCTCTCTCTATCTCTCATTCTCTCTACCTACCCTCTCTCTTTCTCTCTCTATTCGCCTCTCTCTATCTCTCTCTCTCTACCCTCCCTATCTCTTTCTCTCTCCATCCGCCCTCTCCCTCTTTCTCCCTCTCTCTCCACCCGTGCTCCCTTTCTATCTCTCTACTCACCCTCTCTCTCCCTCCCCCCAACTGGAAAATATCTGTGCTCCATCGGACAACCAGAAAATTTATTCCCAACATACACTCCATCAGCCAACAACAGCTTCTCGGGACTACCGTGGCTGAACCCTAGGTTGGGACAGCCGAGTTGGGATGGGAAAGGCTATGCATTCAGGCATGGGTCTACATAGTTTGGAGTTGAAGCCACCCATGGGTTAGAGAGAGGAGTGGTGGAGAGAGATGGGTTAGTGAGAGAAGGGTCAGAGAAGAGTGGGTTAGTGAGAGAAGGCTTAGAGACATGGGGGTTAGAGAGAGAAAGTGGGTGGGGATGATTTTGGAGAGAGAAACTTTCCCGCATTTCTCCTCCTTTGCAAGTGGTGGTTTCGTAACCATGCTAAGATAAGCTTGAGGAGTTCCATCATGCCGTCCCGATAGATTCTTTATGCTCCTCAACTCTGCGAAATTGATTCTTTGTTCGATCTAAGCCATTCGAAGAACACCATAGCGAAGAGAGAGGGATTTCGAGAGAGAGAAATTTCGGGCATAGAGAGATGAGAAAACGTGAGATTTCAGTAGAGAGAGTTTGGGTGAAGAGATAGAGAGAGGGGAGATCCTCTAAAAACCCAAAAGTACAAAATATGGAGGAAGCTATTCAAAAGGGTATTTTTGTCCCAATTTTATTGACTTTTTTACTTGGGGGGTATATATAAAAAAAAATAGTGTTGGGGTCTAGGGTGTGATACTCAAAGTATTGTAGGGTAAGATATCTAAAAAGTTGATTTTGGGGGGGGGGGGGTTTATTTATAAGTTTCCCTTTAGTTTATTCATTTACTCCAACAGTACCAGTTGTCGGAGATTTTGTACCCACTATCCCCTGATAGAAACTAGAATATTGAAACTAGCTTCATTAAACATTTAATAATCAACAACCATAAGCAGAATCTGCAACCACAAACTTTAAAGTTACAAAATATATTGTGAGAGTGTGACCCGAGGACCCCATTAACATGATTTGACCCCACATCTTTTCATTCTTGTACAAATAACTTATCATGTCCTTTACAGGTAATAGGTTCTCTAGCCACATGATCCAGACATAGAGGTTCCCTGTTTGTCTCTCCAAATCAATTAGGTGATAACAACAATTCTCTGAAGATTGTCCCAAATAATTCCTTTAATGGGATGGAGGATGATAGGGAAGTGGACTGCGACATTATCAAGGAGATGGTCAGCTAAATCTTCATAGACATCAATTCAAAAATAAAATCAGAAAATTTCAGATTCAAGGTCAATCTACTTTTTGGGTATACAAAGTTGTTGGTTATGGGCCACTAGGATTATTTTGATTTTCACTTACTGTAATCTTACTGAATTAAAGCATTAGGGCCAATTTAGATGTTTCCATATGTTTGCCACTATGGCACTTCCATTTTAGGTTAAGGAAAATAAGTTCAAAAATTTTGAAGATATTCAAAGAGGTGGTCAGAATGTAAACACGGCAAATAAAAGGGCCTCTTCCAAGATATCAGGAGCACATCAAACTACCACTTTTTGTGCTTTTAAATAAAAGGGCCAGGTTGGAGAACTTACCTAAAATACACAAGCAATGAATGCAAACACAATCATAAGCCCATGCAGCATATTTTAATTTTTAATATAAACTAATGCGCATAATCTGTTCATATAAATTATTCCCCGACAATCATGTCAGTCTCACACCAACAAATATAAACAATACAAAGTTGGCAATGATTGTTACTCAAATATGTATCAACTGTACTAGGATTACTCTAAAAAATCAGGGGATATACAATTACACTTAATACAAATTTTCATTTCTTTAAAAAAATTTCCAGAATTGAAGCAGGAAAAAGACTCTAAGTGCACAGTAAACATGTGCATGACCACCAGGACTATATCATCTCTTCTCAACAGCTTATTTCAAGCAAGACTAAGATCACCTGACCATAGTCAACTCCAAAGAATTGACAGCATGCTCTACAGAATGATTCATCCAATCCCTAATAGATATGTTATAAACTTTTACATGTGCTCCTAATCAGAGTTGCCATTGTTAGCATCTCCAGAGATAAGATAAAGTTACCCAAACAATTATGTGCATTTGTGTGTGTATCCAAAACCCAAATTCTTAAAAACTAATTATTATCAAAGGAAAAAAAACCTTTCTTGTAACCAATTAAACCACAACCTACATAGCTAAAAAGCATTACCCTAGTTACTGTGAAGCCCTTCATTAATGTCGAACAAGGGATACAGCACAGATTCATTAAAAAATGACTCAGGGACTTAATTATGTTAGCGGCTTGGAATAAATTTCTGTAATTCTCCAAAAATCACACCAGGTACTAGGTTTCCCATAAAAAAACTCACAAGCCAGCTGCATCATGAATATGGATTAGCCACCAAAAAGATACCCTCAAATATATAGCAAGAGTTAGAAGGATATCAGTGTAGTTGAATCAGCGACCTGCCAATTTTTGCGCCCCCATGAATGTAGCTTGGTGATGCAATGTTACTCCTATTAATATATATAAATCTTTCTTGCAGAACGAGAAATAAAATGTCATTGTATATTTCCTATGCTCCAAGGAATTCAAGAAAATGCAAGCGCATTTTTTTAGTTCATTGCAAGCAGCCAAGCACATGTGCATATATATGCTAATAAATGATCAGTAAGTTCCTTCTATCTACAATGAAGAACCAAGTGTATCAACAGAAGTAGACTGATTTTAAATTTTCACAGTAGACTTCCAAATGTCCAATTAATACTCCATGGAAGGATTTGTTTTTCCCCAAGGAACGAAGCTGTGATGTGCTTCAATATCTCTCAATGCAGCTAGCTGGGCATGTGACTTTCTCATTTGTTAAGAAAAGTACAGCCAAAACAATGCAATGATTAACTTCTTGTCCAATACCCCAAAATAGATTCACTAGCCGCTAACCTCTGAGGACTTCAAGGTTCACTACAATACCGAAAGTTAATGGAAATAAAACTAATAGAGATATTCATTTCTGAGGTCCATGTTTGACCATGAACCTAAAATACAAATATAACTTAGTAAATTACAATAGCAACTGGCAGATTTTGCATGTCATGAGAAATTCATCGAAATGGAAACCTAAAAAAAATATACACATATTCATAACAACAGGTCAACAGCAACAACTACAATAATATATATGATACTGATAACCTTGGTTCAATTTAACAGTAAAGCCAGCCTCTCCCATGAAACGAGAAGTCTTAATGAGTAACCTAAATATTGTGATGTATAACCCTCGCGCCAACCAATAATCCTAGTTCATTATACATGGAGAAGGAAACATTGTCACCGATTCAAACGTTCTTAAACAAAACAAACAGAGAAATAATTTGTCAACATCTAAATTCGAAGCACGAATCCATCAATGGAAAATCATATACATTCAATATTGCGAAACAATCATCAACAATGTGGAACAAAATCATATCTAAACTAATGAAAATAAAGAAACCAAATGAAATAGAATACCAAAGAGACTTTTCATGAGAGATAGAGATAGAGAAAGGGAGAGAGCTCACTGGGAAGGGTCCTGATTTGTTCATGACCTCCGGAACTTGGGGTAGAGGTAATCTCTCCTGAACCAATGCTTCATGCCGATGATGCAACATTTGCAATCGATCACGAACCCTAATTTCAGACTGAGAATGAGGAATCATAGGCCCTCTTTCGCCAACCCTACCTTCAGGCCGAGGAGGTTGCAGGATAGGAAACCTCTCTGAGACCCTAGTTTCATCAAAAAATGGGAAACCAACCCTGGTTCAGGCCTATGAAGAGAAACCTGAGATCTCTCTGAAACCCTAGCTTCATCATGAGGAGATTACCTGATTTCGGGGCGAGAGGGCAATGGAAATTGCTCAGTAGCCCTAGCATCATGAAGAGGCGGCAACGGAAACCGATCAGAAACCCTTGTTTCTGGAATTTGAGAGGAAAATGGAGCCCTATCATGATCAGGATGAAGTCGAGACCCTAGCTCTCTTTCAAGGGCAAGCTCTCGCCTCACCTCCTCTTCAAGCTCACGCCTTCGAGCAGCTTCTTGAGCAAGAATTTCCTCTCTGATTCTCTTTTTTTCTATCTCCCTTTGTAGAAGTTCCCGATTTGGATCACCATGAATATAACCAACTGGAAAAGCAAAAGGTCTCCTATTCATGTTCTTTGAAAAAAAAACCTAGAGAGATAAACCCCAGTTTTGCAGAGTTGGAAATGATAATCAACAATGTAAGACCTAGTCATGCAGATATGGAAATATTTTTGCAGAGTTCGAAATGCTAATCAACAATGTAAAAGCTAGTCATGCAGAGATGGAAATACTAGGTGGTTGACGCATAGGTAAATGGAAACCACTAGTGTCAGAGAAATGGATATTATCACACAATGTTTCCAAGTGACTATAGAGAAAAGGGAACTACAACTTTGCAAGTTGATGACTCACTGCTCATCTAAGAGCTGCAAAACTGAAACCCTGATTACCAGGTACATGAAGCAGGTCATGGAATTACAAGAAATTTGGGAAAAAAAAGAAATTAAATTTAAATATACAGAGGTTAAGAAAAATAAGGGAAAACAGAATCCAGTGTTGCAGAGATAGGTGTTGAAACCCTAATGCACAGGTACCTCAAATACCTCATCAGAAGAATATTGAAACAAATAATCATAAATACTAAGCCTTCGCATTGTTGGAGAAACCCTACTCAGCAGAGGTGGAGGTTACCTCTTATGGCTTCAGATGCGAAGTAGCCATTAGCGCCTCGTGGTGAGAGATAGGGAGCTCTGTTATCGGGTTCCCTCAACCTGTAATCCATCGCCGGTGTATGAAGCCAGAGACGGAGAGAGAGAGAGAGAAAGAGAGAGTGCGTGTGATTAGGTCATAAATTGCACGCATTGACAGAGGGAAGGTTATAAAATGGAGAGAGAGAAAGAGAGAGAGAGAGAGGTGGGAGGGGGCCGGGGGGGGGCAGGGCTCTCTCCAGTTTCCAATGATTATGTATTTAAAATTTTTTAGCACGTTTAATGTAACCCCGCGGGAGAAAACTATATATTAAGTACCTCCAGCGGACCACGAGTTTTGCACTTTTCCGTGGGAAAGAAAATTTAGATACTTGGAAAAGGGGCTGATGTCGTCGTGGTGGCAGCACCCTACGTGTTTAGTCCCTAGCAGCGTTTTAAAAAACGCCGAGTCGTTCGACTCGAAATTCGTGAAAAGGGATCGGATCGGTTTAAAAATCGAAAATCGTCCGGTTTTAGAGACAACCGGACGATTCTGCACAGTGACTCGCCGATTCACTGTGCGGAATCGGCGAGTCCATGAAGAACACGGGTTGCACAGTA